GGGGGCGGGGGGGCGGAGAAACGCCACAGGACACTGCCCCTACCCCCCCCCACCCCGGCCGCCCGGAACAACCGGGGGACATTCTCGGCCGGTCCGGCTCCGGGGCCGGGAGAATCCGCGGGCGGTCTCTGTTCTCGGGGCGCGGGGGGGGGGGGGAGCAATTGTGTTACATCGGCCCCGGCCGGGAGGGGCGTCCTCCGCGCCCCCGGCCCCCCGGAGAAAAGGGGGCCCGGGGAATAATAAATAAATAGCACCAATGGCTGGAGAGGCCGCGCCGCGCCGCGCCCCCCCCGCTCTCCCGCCGGAGCCGAGAACGGGCCGGTTCCCAGCAACGTTACGCCCCCCCCCCCCTCCCCTCCCTGGCTGACTTTCTCCCTTGCAGCCCCCCTCTTCGGCCAGGGGGGGGGGGAACGGGGGAAGGGCCAATAAAAGAGCCCAAAGACGGCGCTCGATCGTCGAGCACGGACGCCGCACACCGGGAGGAAGGGGGGCATATTTCCCGGTCCGACCGCCGCCCCGGGACGCGGGCCGCCGGGGGTGGGTTGGTATTTGGGGGGGCGGGGGCGGGGGGCAGGGCTGGGCACCCGGTTGCGCGGCCGGCCGAAGGACCGAGCCGGAGGCTCTGCGGTCGAGCGGGCTTCGAGAGGTGTTTATGGACACGCCGGCCGGCCCGGGCGGCAAAAGGACGCGGGGGACATCGCCAGGGGATGAGAGGACAAAGGGGGGGGGGGGGGGGGGGCGGGGGCGGGGGGGGGGGCCGACGCCCGGCTGCAACCCGCTGGGGGGAGGGGGGACCCAGGCACACATCGATCCGCCTACGGGCCGGGGGGGAGGGGGCTGCCTGCCGGGGGATATGGATATATATATATGTATATCGCGCGCGCGTGGGCCAATCAGCTGGAGGACACAAAACAAGCGCGGCGGAGGGCTGGCGTCCCCGAGGTGTGTGGGACCCTCTTGCTGCCACCGAGAGAGGAGGCCAGCGCTCGACAGGCAGGGCGCGGGAGCGGGGCCGAGAGAAAAACAATAAATCGGGGAATAATAAGGCGAAAAACACTAGAGAGCCCTCGGGGAGCTCTGCCCCCGGCCGGGGGGAAGGCCGGGCGAATGGGCAGCAACACCGCCAGCATTTGGATGGAGGCGCGCCGGGTAAACAACAGCCGCTTGACCGGAACCAGGCGGGCTGGGGAGGAAATGGAAAAAAAAAGACGCGCACCCCCAAGCACCCCCGGGGGATGGACACACACACACACACGCACACACACGCAGACAATAACACCGCGTATGCACAGCTCAGCCGCCGGCCGGGGACGCCAACCAAATGGCTTGTACGCGATGGGTCGCTTCATTCGAGAGAGTTCCCTGACGGGGGTTCTCCCGCTCGGCCGAGCGCGCGCCGCGCTGCCGGCCTTCGGAACCGGCGTCCGGCGCGAGCAGACCGTCCGCGCGGGCGAGACCGGGCTCTGCCCTCGGCCCGGGGCGGCGGCCGCCAGGCACACCGGCCCGGCGACGAGGGCCGCGATTCCCTGGGCCCCCTCGCCCTGTGGTGGCTGGCCGGGGGGCGGTGGGGGGGAGGGGGGGGCAGAGAGAGGCCGACCGGCCGGACATGCGCGGTCACCAGACCCCCCTTCCGAGTGGCATGCCAGGCTTCCGCCAGCCGGGGCGGCCGCGACGGTCTCTGCTGGTCTTTCGTTGGCCGGAGGGAGTGTCTGCC